GCCGCAGACGCTGCCGTCGTGAATAGGCTCTTGGTGTAAGCGAAGCCGCCTTCTGCCCACAAAGCCGCCGTGGAATCCGCGACGCCGGCGCCTCGTTGGGAGTAAGAGAGAAGCCGTGCCACTCCGAGTCGCCGGCAATCCGCCGGGCAACCAATGGCGCTGGTGCAGGCTGGCCCATGATGAGATCAATGCCCATACAACGGAAACTTTGGTGGTACTCGATACAAGACAAGATGCACTATCTCAGCGGGGTGCTCGCCGTCCCATGGCGACTACCGCGCCCCGTGTACATTTCCCATGTTGAACGCCGGGCCGATCGCGAAGTCCACGGGCGGGGTCGCAGCCAGGATCGCCTCAAGGTCGTCCCACGAGCGTGCCGTGACGAACTGGTCGTCGAGGTACGAGTAGCGCAACGAATTCCGCGCAGTCTTTTCCATTTGCAAGTACCAGAGGACCGAAGTCATATTGCAGAAGAAGCAGGCAAGCGGACACCCTTGAGGCACCCCAACCAAATCTTTACCTTGCAGCCACACGTGCGTTGGCTGGCTATCGACGAACAGCGACCCGGTAAACTTCTCGTAGTTGAACATGCTGTACAAGTGCATGTAGATTGGTAAAATCCAGTCGGTCGAAGCACATCTCCAGATCCATGGATAAGCCCAACCAGGCGCCCTCATCACCCATCCGGGCTTGCGCCGAACGCGCTTGGATCTGCCACAACACCTCGGGACAACTATGCCCCAGCATGGCTCCTGTGAGGGCGGGCGGTTTCCAGAACATCAGCCATTTGGTCAACGATGTCGCGTGCCGTCTGGTCCACAACCTGTAGGTGATGGGCAACACGGTCGGTGGGCGTCGCTCGTCTGGCGGAAACTCAGGTCGACTTGGGATCAGCGTAAACCTTGCATGAACCAACAATGAGGCAAGCGACCCTGATCAGCAACATTGAGTAACACAGCCAGACACTCCATTGAATCACGATGTAAACACTCGGTCCCAGCAGCGTGGTGGGCCTCGATCTGCACGCTCCTTTTCGCAGGAAGTCCAATCAGTGCTCCGGCGCCCAATTGCCTGGGGACTCGTAGGCGGGCACGGCGGGTAACCCACTGAGGTCAAAAGGTTGTCGTCGTAACGGCGGCGGCGGCCCCTGCGTCTTCGTCGAAGTGTTGGGGTCCATGGGGCAGCGTGCAAAATCCCCCCGCAGACTTGGCAAACGTGCAATCTGATAGACTCCAGAATTCCATCGGTTTGCGAGTTCGAGGCCAAACCGTCGTGCAAGCTCCCGGGCAGAGAAGACAGCAGCGCCGAATCGAAGCAGAACGGCGTCCCGCATGTTCAGCAATCGCGTTTTGACCCACAAGTGCTGGCTGGACTCAGTGCAACGAAGCACTGCAGAAGGCCCACCTGCTGCTCGATCACCAAACGCTTTGAAACTTTGAGTTGCACGCCCCAGCAGGCTGCCAGGTCGTTGGCGGCATACCCTTGTTTGAAAACAATGTGGCGCCCCAGCTCCCTAGCATGTGCAGCCGGGGCCCCTCAAATGCCCCAGCCTACGCATGGACTGCCAGAGTGGCTCTGGGCGCAGCAGCCAGACCTTGCTCCGTGAACGTGGTCGACGTACCCCTTGAGGTTGACCGTATCCCTGGAGGTTTGGACGTGTTGGGGCAAGACTCGGCCTCGCAGGGTGTCGCGTGAGGGCGTTCTGGGATCCGCGTTCAGTCGGCGGTGGACAGACCTCCCTTTAATAAACCGCCCTTACTTTAATGAAAACGGCCTGGGACCGAAACCGACGGACCTGGACCCGCAAAAATGACGGCCGCGACGCTCTCTCGCGAACCGAAAACGGCCAATTCGCTAATCGACGTGTCAGGGTTGGAGGTCTATCCACCCCCGATTCAGGGCGTCTCGGAGCCCTGCTGGGCCGTCCTGGAGCCGCGTCAGGCCCGCTTGGAATCACTCGGAGGCCCGCCGGGCGCGCCCAGGGATGCCAAGAGTCGCACAGGCTGGTCCCTCAATCTCTCGCCCTCTCTCTCTCCTGTCCTCCTGGTCATCACCAAGATCTTGATCGTCATCCTGTTGTCATCCCTCCTCTTCTCCATCGCACAGTTTCACCCTGTCCTGTCCCTCATCCTTCTCTTCAATGTTCCGATTTGCCTGTTCCTTCCTCATACACATCCTTCTCCTCTCTTATGGTTCGTCCTACTCTCGTGGGCGCAGGCAGAGGGTCGAATAGTGGAGGAAGGTGGACGGGGAGAGGCAGAAGAGAGGACGGATGATAAAAGCGGTGGAGGAGGGGTGAGAGCGAGGCGGTGCGTGGTCCCGGACAGGTCCAAGGCGTGGTGGGCCGAGCAGGTGGAGAAATCCGCCGACCCTGTCGGCGTGTGTGCAGGGTCTGTCCGGTTCCGTCGACGGGGAGCCTTCCCTCGAAAGAGAGAGAGAGAAAGCGAGCACCCTCCCTCGATCGGGGAACGGTCTCCCAGCTTAAGGGAATTCCATCCACGTCCTCATCACGAATCCCCTTCCCCTTGTCCTCTCCCCGGCGGGGGGAGGGTCGGGGGGGGGTGGGGAGTCAGATTTGCATCGCCTCTGGGGGTCATCTCCCACGCTGGTCCTTCTCCGGCGCGCCGGTCCTCATCGGGTCCTCCTCCAAAGGTGGGGAGGAATCCTGGGGGGGGAGTCAGATACGCAGCCGTCCCTGGGGGTCCGCCTCCCCCTCCCCTCCCCCGTCAGGCCTTCACAATCTTGATACTGGGATCGCCATCGACACCCCCGCAGAGAAACTCCAGGTTCCCAAAAAAGTGGGGCGGCGGTGTCTGCCCACTCAGGGGCGTTCAATGAATAACAGGATTCCCCATATTTTCCTACATTTTCTGGTTTTCGTCTTCCCCTCGCTCCCCCCATATTTTCTGTGGAGCCGATGATTAATTGTGACTGTGTGCTTTTTCCCTCCTGGATGTGAGAGGGACGGGTGCCCAGCGGCCTGCGCAAGAAAGGGAGGGCCGGGCACGTGGGAGGGGAAAGGAATTCGGGGCGGGAGGAACGAGGAGGTGCGAGGATGGAGGGCAAAAGAGAGAGAGGGCGAGGGCGCGAGGGGGAGGAGAGAAGAAGGGGTGGGTGAAGAAACGGGATGCCTGCTGGGCTACGCCGGGACAAGTGTCAGGCCGACGCTCGCCGGGAGCAGGGGAAGGGGAGGGGAATCGGGGAATCGGGGAGAGAGTCAACGGAGTACAGTGGGGAGCAGTCCACAGGAAGCCTTCCACAAGCAACCCATGCATGAGACCCCAGGACGTCCCTGGGTTTTTGTGGTGTGGGAATGTCACGCTCTCCATGGCAAAACCGTGGAAACCCAAGATACCCAGAGCACCCTGGAGGCAAGGCGGGTGTTTCTTGGCATGGGTCTCCATTGTAAGAGCGGGGGGGGGAGAACGTAGTACATTGGATATTGGCAGAGCGCGAACGTAGTGGGCTGAATGTGGGCAGAGCTCGCGGGGCAAACACGATCGAAGAGGGATCGGGAGAAGGGAGGAGCTGGTGAGAGAGACCCAGGAGAATGATCAGAAAAGGCTGTGGACAACTGGTAGTCGGAGACAGAAACAAACAGCACTGCATGATGCAGCGCAGATGGGCTTAGTGGGCGGGGGGGGGGGTCTCTGAGGATTCGGTTGTAAGGAGGACTGAGGGAACATCGTTGAGTGAAGGAGGACGGAGAAGCGGGGGATGTAACAAGGGGGGGATTACCCTGGCGAAAGACCCAGCCATACGCAATTGTGAGTGCCGCCGTTGTGAGTATCGCCTTCGGTGGATCTCCTCATGGAACCACGAAACGTGTGAAAGGTTGAGACTCCCCGTCCCGTCTGTCCTGTCTTGAGAGGATTGATGGGTTTTGATGCCTTCGAGGGGGGTCCCGTGTGAGATGGGGGTCTGATGGGCGTGTGCGTGGTGTGAGAAAAAGTTGATGGGGGTCTGATGGGCGCGTGTGGGGTGTGTAAAAAAGTTGATGGCCATTTTTGTGCGCCTAGGACCCCCCAAAAAGTTGAGTTTTCTTGTAGGGCCAGGGAATCAAATGAGAAGAGGACGTGCTCTGGCGCGCCGTGCGTGCGAAGCTGTGTGCTCAGGGGCCACATATTCAGGGGCAGTCTTGGTTCGCGTCCATCGCCTGGTTCCCTCCAGCTGGGGGTCAGCGGACTTTGCGGCACGTGCTCGTACGTTAGGAATCGTCGTCGTCGTCGGGGCCCCGAAGAGGAACTCGCAATGGAACCCCCAAACTGACGCTCGCAATAGAAGCCCCGAAACGTATCCCACCAATGGGCCCCCAAAAGTGGCACCCACAATGAGACCAAAATGTGGCGCCCGCGATGGACCCTCAATGGGTGGCGATATGCGTGAGGGGCGTGCCGAAATAATATTGATACACATCCTCACTTTGACCGCATGCGTGCCGTAACCATTTGGGCTCAAACACGTTTCGTCTCTTGCTCTCCCTATCCATGAGCTCTGAGTCTGAGCGCTGGCAAAGCGATGAGGAATGGGGCTCGCTGAGCATACCGACGCCTGATGTTGCCGCAGGCGGCGAGCCAGAGGGAGTCGAGCTGCCCAGTGAGGAAGAGGACTGGCTCGACGAGGGCCTCGGCGACGGGCAGCCGAGCCCCGCGGCGCTGGGCGACGGCCAGGCCATCGTGCCGCACCAGCCGCTGCCAGCCCAGCCAGTCCCAGGGCCTCTGGCAGTACGTCCTCGTGACAGCCAGGCGCCTTCGGCTTTGAGCGATGGGCTCGCCAGGCTGGTGCGCGTGATGGTGGAGAGACGGCATGATGACGGATCGCCTGTGGTCTTGGAGAGCAACACGGCTATGGCAAACAGATTGGGTTTAGGGTTCAACCATTTCCGAGACAAAGTATATGCCGCGGCCCACGCATCATATTTCGCTTCTCAGCGACACGTGTCTGGGATCATTCAGCGGATGCTGGAGGCTTGCAGGTTGACTGCGGGCCAGCGCGAGGGCATGGTGGAGCCATTGGTTTTCTTCAGGATGCGGAAGTACGATGGTACGAGGATGAAGCTTACATGTAATGTGGAGCACGATTACGGCGACGATGTCATCACAGAGCGGACCACAGGCACGCTCGAGATCTTCGTCACCAAGGCTGGCTTCGGCATCGTGGTGAGGAAGCGAGCGCGGCAGACAGAGGAGTACTTACACATGTCAGGCCAGATACCGACCCATTTATGCGTGCTGCAGGGCTCGAAGGCCGAGGTCATCAACGCGGCGTTGCACGTGCAATTGGACAGCTCGTACGACTCTATCGTTGAAGGTCGGTTTCCCCGCCGGGTTGATATCATTGGGTGCGATGCTGCCAGTGGGAACTTGAGGAACGAGCGGGCCATGTGCACACAGGTCCCATTGAGGTCACAGTTGCTCATGTTGTGCAGGGCCCACATGAAAAAGAAAGTCGCCGAGCAGGGTTTTATCACCATCAAGCCTTTCGATACACACCTCGTTCGTTGCCAGATGTCTCTCTCGGGCGACCACGTGATTACTTTGAGACACGAGGCCAGGAGAATCCATGAGGAGCAGGTCGTTGTGAAACGAGGTATGTGCCCACCTGATGCCACAGAGCACCGTGAACGCATCTGGGATTTGTATTTCAATGACTTGACCGACACCTCGCTGATGTACCGTAAAGCCATCTGCACCAGACTGTACAATGGAGATATACGAAAGCATGGGGTCATTGAGCATTATTGTCGAGGGTGTTGCAAGTCCTCTGCCCACACCCTTCACATGACGAGGAGGTTCGGCGTCGGCGCTCTCTTTGGCAGCATTGACGTTTTGAACAGGGCCAATTGGACAAACAAATTGAGGAGTCACCGATCAATTGGCCTGCAAGCTGCAGTTCACGGCATCTTCCAGGTATCGTACTTGCGGGCCCTGCCAGCGCCCAAGCAGCGGCGCGCCACCGCGCCGCCGCCTGCTGGCGGCGAGGCTCGCGGAGGAGACGATGATGAGCCACCAGATTTGCAGCGCGGCGGCGAGGGCGAAGCTGGTCCCCGACGCTGTCCCGACGCCGACGGGCCAGATGATGCGCAGGCAGACATGGACGACGTCAATGCGTTCAGGGAGGAGCAAGACGCTCGGGTCTTGGGCACCCGCGCGTGGATGCTCAGCGGGCGAGTTTCAGACAACTTCTTCGTTGCCTCAGTGATGGCGTCGAGGACTGACAGCTACGTTACGGAACAGTTGTACATGAGTGGATCGGCATTCGAACATCAGCAGCAGCATAAGGTATCCCGTGGAGAGCCTAGGACGTACCAGGCCTGGTTGGCGCACGAGGACAAGGACACCGTTGACATCCTCACGAGCTCCTACAATGCTATATTCGATGCCTCATCGTGGCACCCGCTGCAGCATCGCACGGAGATGGCGGCGCTGGATCTATACCGATTGCATTCTCGTCTTGGTGCCGTGGCGTACCACCTGGTGTACAGGACCAATCGTAACTGGCCCATGCCATTGCTGTATGCCCTGAAGGACCCCGACATGTTTAAGAAGCTGGAGGGTACCAAGTCGTGTCTACTGGATCCGTACTCTGAGGATTTCGCAAAGTTCTACGCTGGGCGCTTGGACTCACACACGGCAACGGCCGAGCTAAAGGGTGCCGTCGTGATGGCCGAGATGGACACTGCCGACGTCGAGCGCGTGCACTCTGTCAACCAGAGGGGCGCGCGCTTCAGGGTGTGGACCCATGTGGAGACTGTTGAGGAGGTGAGCGCTCAATACACAACTAAGTCAGCCGCTGCTTTAGAAGTTGGCGCAGTTCCTCGCCCACCTGATCTCCAGAGGGCCCCTGCCCCCAAGCGCGCCCTCCAGGATCGGGACCCGCTGCGAGGGAGCAACAGCCTCAAGATGTGGACTTGGCGGGCGTATGTTCACATGCATGGTGGCTTTCTCACGCAGGAGTCTGCGGCAGAGCTGTCGGAGCAGTACAAGCAGCTGGGCGACGCTGAGCGGGAACAGTACCAATTGGTTGGAGCCCTTGCGAGGGATCGACATCTTTCAGGGGAGCGTGCGTTTCAGAAGCGGCGAAAACCTTAGGCAGCGTCGGCCTTGGGCGACATCGGGGCTATCGGGCTACTGCAGTCGAGCCGCTGCCGACGGGATGCGTTGCCCGACGGCGGCGAGTTGAAGAAGTCACGATGGGCGGATGAACCTTCCCCGATCTTGGATGCAGGCGCGGCTGCCTGGGCCAGCGCCCTCCGCCAGCGGCGCAGCGGCTCCGCGCAGGAGACCAGACTTGCTGGGCTGGTACGTGATGCGGCTCTTGCTCGGAAGCGGGCTCACCAGGAGCGCGACGATGGCATGTTCGCGATCGTCGACAGGGCCGCTGCCGCCACGGGCGATATCGATGTCCAGGTCGACGCTGGCACGGTCCTGAGGTACCGCAGGCGCCCGTCATGCGTGGCGTCGGACGCCAGCCGCGGCGTGGAAGGCGAGGCCTGCCATTCGACTGCGGCGCGGGTCTCCGAGTGGACGGCCATGCACCGAACGCTTACGATGGCAAATGTTCCAGCTCTTGGCAAGGTCCCCACTTGCCGCCGACGCTGCCACGAGGTCGAGACTTGTATCCACGAAGGCGACGGCAAGATGCTGGCGAGGCTTGAGGCGCATCTCTGGTCCGCGTTTGCCGCCTTTCGCCGCCTGGACCCCAAGGCGGCGAAGGGGTCAGGGGCGGCTCGGTGCTGCGGTTCGCCGTCATGGCTGCTCCTCCGCACGCCGAGGCAGAGGTTGGTGGCGACGCGTCTTCTGCCATTGGGCCCCTCGGCGATGGTGAGGGCGGAGCTGTGTACCGTTTTTTCCACGTCGCATGTCATTTCCAGAAGCCGTTCTCGCCTACTGTGGTTGAGTTGGAGAGGGACCCGTCCAGGGATCATGCCGACGTCTTAGGCGTATCGCCGATCAAAGTTGATGACTCGACGAAGTTCTGGAGATCCATGTTGGAGATGATCAGGTCGTTCGAGGTGGGCTCGCGCATGACCATCAGCTTCTGGAAGTACGTCGGTCGAGACAGGCACGTCGCCATCGTGGAGCCCTGGAAGCTGTTCATCACGAGCGTGACGGATGAGGTCGCGCCGCCGCTCAAGATGCCTCGAAAGCCCCGGCCTGCGGCAGCGCGTCGGGCAGCGGGTCGGGGCCGCGGGCGCCGTGGTCGCGGCGCCCCTGGGAGGGGCCGTGGCGAGCCCGCGAGGTCACCGACCAGCTCTGCGAGCGGCGCTGGCAGCAGCTCCAGCGCTGGCGCTGACAGCGGCAGCAGCTCAGACTCCGACGACGACGAGAGCGACAAGCACTCCGAGGGCATGGCCGACTCTGGGGCCAGCGGCGCGTCCTCCTCCGAGCACGGCCCGAGCGAGGGCGACGTCACGGGGTCCGAGGGCCACGGCAGCGGCTCGGACGAGGGGGGAGGCGATGATGGCAGCGACGAGGGCGGTGATATCCACTGCCCTGGCGGGGAGGGCGGCGACGGCGGCTTCGAGGGCGCAGTTGGTTTCGGGCTGCCGCTGCCGATGCCGCCGCCTCCCGAGCCGCCGCCAGCAGCGGCTCCGCCTCCAGGAGCCGCCCCGCCGCTCGTGGCAGTGGGCCTGGGCGGCCCGCGGGGCCCCGGCAAGGTTCCTCCCGAGCTCGTGGTGCCGTACCGCAATGGCATCATCAGGTACTACGCAACCACAGACGTCATGGTTGCTCAGTGCCTGGTGGCGTCCCACCAGTGCGGCCCTGGGTGCTTCCTCACTCGGAGGTGCACCCCGCTGGGGTCCAACAAGGCGAAGGGCAGGATGCTCGGCCTGTTCGCCGCCTGGCTGGAGTTGACTGCCGAGGAGGCGCGCTTGATCGAGCGGTGGGAGCACGTCCACGAGTTCAAACCTGGACACCGTGATCGCGTCCTCGCGCGGCGCCGCGCCCTGGCCAGCAACCCGCTGATGGAGGCGCTCGCCGAGAAGGAGCGGGGCCCGAATGAGGGGGATGAGGATGGGGAGCCACACGGCGACCCATAGACCCAGAATGCATGCATGTCGTTTGGATTGGGCGCCCTTTGCCCAGAATTACACTCCGCCTAAAACCTTCAGAGCGTCATAAAACCGCGAGGGGGTGAGGGCGGGCCATTTTTGGGATCAGTCGCTGAGGGGTGGCCTTGTAAGTTGGGCCCTGGCGGGCCCCTTGCCAGTACGGTTATCGGGACCCTCCTGAAAACTCGGCCCCGACGGGGCCGCGTGCACATCATGCCCTGGTGGTGGGGGGGGGGGGGCGTCCACGTCGACCCGCGGGGGCTTACGGGTTTGCTTGTTAACCTACAGTTGTTTCCCACGCGTTTGAAAGTCCAGGCTGCTCAGCCCAGAGAATGCCTTCCAGGTTCAGCCCTCGTCGGTTCGCGGTGCGTTCAGCCCAGAGGGTCCAACTTGAGCTGCGAGGTCGAGGGCTGCAGCGCACAGCTCAGCTCGAGGGCGGGGGTCGCGGCGGCGCCCCACCTGTTGTTTCGGCGCGAAAAAGATTGGCCCTATTGAAGAGGGTCTGGGGGCATGAGACCTCAATGCGTCGCATCGCCAGCCCACTCCCGCGGAAGCCTCAAATCTCTGAGGGGGAGGGGGGCCTCCAACAACACAACTGGCGGGGGATGCGCAAACAAGGAACGATGATAACTCGCGAACCGGGGCGTGTAAAGAGTGGCGAGGCGAAGGAGGTGCACGATGAGCGACCTGGAAATTGAAGCAGGGAGGGACGGGCAGGGGGAGGGGCTGCAACGGGGCGAGATAAGTGGAGAGGAGGAGTGGGACTGAGGAAAGAGCGCGCGGGGGAGGAGGGCGATTTGACGAGGCCCAGGGCGAGGGCGGAGGCGGGGAGACAATTGACTAGGTTGGGCGACGAGGGTGACGGAGCGGGCACGCGGAGGCAACGGTGCTAAGACACGGAAGGAGGGGAAATGCCTGGAGTGCCCAACGGCACGCGTGGAGATGCGCGGAGGCGCACTTACTGCACGGCCACCGCGCGTCCCCCGCTCCAGGCACTAACCGCCCCGCCCGCGTCGGAGTCGCGTATGCTTTCACATGGGTTCGCGCTGCAACCCGACTGCCCATAACTCCGCTGGATCCCACTTGCGGTCAGGCCCACCTGACCGCAAGTGGCGGTCAGGGCCTTTCAGTTCACGCAGTCCTGGCCGAAGGCGGTCGACCTCCGAGGATATGTAATATGTGTGTGCACTACAACGCCGTCCAGTGTCAGTATAGTTTGCTTGCGTTACTTGGCGAGTGCTAGCTTCTTTGATGTTTGCCGCGGCCGTTGATGACACTTTCCTTTATCTTCGGACGCCAGCTGTCGCTTACTCAAATGGCTTGCGCCATTCCGCCGAACAGGGGGGCTGAGAGCTTGCGACGACCGTGGAAGTCATCCAATGGCCTTCGGCCCAACCTACCACCGTGCCTTGGCTGTGGGCAGGAGCCTCTCGGGTGACTTTGAGGGTCTTCTAGGGCGCCTGTAAAGGGCCTCAATGGGGGGGCGTCTAGGGGGCTTTTGGAGGCCTCTGGAGGGTTTCTTGGTGGCGTCTAGGAGGCTTCTTGGGGGCACGCCAGGGGCCTCTGGGGAACCCTTGTGGCTATCTTGGGGGGAAGGCTCTGCCTTTTCAGTCCCGCGGGGGGCTCCTGCTATATCATGCGCGGGCTGCGTGCTGTTCCCACTTCGTGCCATGAAGAGCGAATGCTGTCAGGGCCTCCCTTGGCATTACAAGAACTTATTTCTGTCTGCGCGGGTGCCCGACAGGTGCCGTGCCGCGCCTTGCCGTGCCTTGCTGCGCGGTGCCCGCGCGCCGTGCCGCGCGCGTGGCGACCCGCGCCGCGTCTACTAGACACTAGACCCTGTTACATTGCGATGCGGTTGCCGTGCCGCGCCGACGGCGTCGCGCCTGCTCGCCGCGCCGTCGCGCGTGCCTTTCCGTATTAGGTTTCGACGGTTCGAAGGGGGTATCGCGTGGTGCTGTGCCGTGCCGCGCCGCTGTGTTCCCGCGTGCGCCGTGCCGCTCGCGCGGCCGCGCCGTGCTTGATATCTGGATTGCGATATGCAAGAAAGCTGACGGAGCGCGGCGCCGCGCCACGCCGCGCCGCGCAATGCCCGCGCGCCGCGCCGCGAGTGCGCCGTGATTTGCCCGTGCTCAGGACCCAGGGAGTGCGAGCGTAAGTGTCGCGCCGCACCGCGCCGCGTCCGCGTGCCGCGCCGCGTCGCGCTCGTGCCGCGCCGTGCCCGGGCGCCGTGCTATGGCGCGAGGGGCTGCGGCGTACTTGAATGCGGAAGAGGCGGCGCGCCGTGCCGCGCCGCGGTTGGCGACCCATGATTGGCTACCAGGTTTCCCAGCAATGCGCGAGCGCATCGGCCGCCCGCGCCGACGGCGCCCCCTCGATGTTGACTCGCAACGTCGTGCTCATTCCCGTGCAGGCACGGGCTTCTAAGCGCGATGTATGTTGCATTTCATCTTGTGAGGGGTCCATGTGGCTCCCGCGTGTTTCCCGATCCAGCTCTACTTGGGCCCGCGTAGTGCAATGTTGGTTTTTGGTGGTTTCGATGCGGGCTTCTCCTCAAGCCCAGCTCGGCCCAAGCATCTGCCCGCGTGAATGCCGTTTGTTTTCTAGCGGTTGCGACCCATCTTACCGAGTCCATTTTCTGAATGAGAGCTCTAGCAAATCCTATCCGGGCACCGCGCGTGGCCAATTACGCGCGTTTGCCATCCCGCCACAGCGCCGACTCTCCGCTTCGGGGCCGCATGCGTTGCCATCTGGCCGCCCGCGCGGGCGCGCCTGCTTTTGTTTCGGTTCACGCGAAATCGCACTTCAATTTGCGAGTGCGTCGGCTGAGCGCCACCTTGCGTCATCAGGCCCCCATCAAAAGTCATCGCCGAATTTACGCAGGCCGCTGCAGGTCATCAAAAGCCATCAGAACCTCATCAAAACCTCATCGGACCGACCACCCGCCGCGTCACCACCCCCTACGCGGCCGATCCCCGCGGCGTTGCGGGGCCGCTGGCCGCCCGCGCGCCGCGGCCCCCCCCCCCTGCCCCCTCCCGGCGCGCGCGCTGCGAGGCCGTCAGCGCCGCCGCCGCGGCATTCCTACGCGCCCGCCCCTCGTCGTTCCACCTCGTCCGCGGCTCCGCCCGCGCGGCCCGCCGCGGGGCAGCTGAGCGTGGGGCGGCAGCGCGCGCGGCGCCAGGCGGTTCTGCGGGGCGGGGCGGGGGCGGGCCGCGGGCGCGGTGAGGGGCGCCGCTGTCGGCTCGCACGTGCTGGGCGCACCCTGGGGCTTGAGGGGCGGCTCGATCTCGGCGCCGAGCCTGGCCGCTTCCGCAGGCCCGCGATAGCCTCGGAAACCGCGCGCGCATGGCTCGTTCTCTATTGAATTGATTAGCATTTTCTATTAGAACGGGCGGCGCCAGGTCCTCGAATTTTGCCAATCTAACCCCCCCCCCCCCCCTTTCGCATCGGCGGCGGCTGCGACAAACTGCCCTCCACATTTTCCGCGCTCGGAGCATGCAGAGCGGGCCACTTCGGCTTGTTCGGCAGGCGATTGCGCAGCCATGCGAGGCGAAAAAAAATATGCGATTCGCGTTTCTCGCGTTTGAATCGTGGCCCTCCCGCGGCCGCAATGGCGATGCAGCCGCGCAGGCGCCCCCCAATCGGGCGGGCCTCGATGCTGCGCGCAGTCGGCGGGCGCGCTGTCATTCGGCGCCGGGCGCCGCAAGCGCGGCGCGGGGGGGGAAGGGGACGGCGCGCCGAAGCGCTGCCTTCCTGGCCGCCCGTGGTCGGGCGCCGTCCAAGCGCGCGCTCGCGGCCCAGCGGCTCCTCGCAATCGCGGAGGGATGGCGACGGCTGCGGCCATCCCAATAGCACGATGAGCTACCCGCCTGCGAGCTGCGCGGGCCACGCGCGGCCCGCGCGCGCCCTCGTCGCGCGGCTGCTCTCGCGGGGGCGGCCGCGCGCGCGCCGCCCTCTCGACGGCGGGGTGTTTCGGTGGGCGCCCGCGCCGTCGGGGCGGGGGGTCGCGGCTTCATCGCGGGCCTGCCAGCTCGGGGTCGTCGGGCGATGTCGCGGTTCGAGGTGGCGACTGGGCTGGCGGATCCGAGCTCGGAGCTCCCAGGATCTACTCGCGCAGTGCGAGGGTCGACGTCTCGTTGCTTGGGAATTCGATGGTGTTCGCTTCGGGCCTTGCACCTGCTGGAGGCGCTGGTCTCGGTGCTCGGTGCTCCGCTCGCAATTGGGGGCGGGCGCTGGGGCCGCGGCCCTCGGGCGTCGCGTCGGCCTCGGCCCTGGCGCACGCGCGCTCGCGCGCGCCAGATGCACGCGGCGCTGATGCGCGCGCGGGCGGCAGGCGGCAGGGCCCATGGCCGCGGGCGCCGCCTGAGGGCTTTGCGCCGACGGCGCTAACATAAGGGGGGCGGTGTCTTCGACCGAAGGCACGGGGCAGAGATCTGGGGTCTACGGTTCGGGCGGCGCAGGTTTGCTGCCGAGGTCTTTGCGCCTTCCCGCGGGCGTCGGGCGCGCGGCAGAACGGCGTCGCGGCGCCGGCCATGTCGCCCGCCCCCCCCCCCCCGCGCCCCCACCGATCGCCCTGCAGCTGGGCGCCGCGAGCTAGCCCATTGGACTCGCGCATCGGCCGCCCGGGGGGGGGGTGGGGCGCGACGATGCCAGGCGCCGGGTGCCAGCCCGCTGTTCTCTTGCCGCTTGAGCCGAACCCCGCCGCGAGACTTCTGCTGGCAGCCCATCCAAGGCTTCCCCATGGAAGAAGCGCGTGTCTCTGACGTTGGCCCGCCCCCCGCCCCAGCGCCGAGCTCGCTGGCATGGCGCGTGCCAGCGCGTTGGATGAAGGGCAAGTCGTTGCGCTCAGGACAACGCGCGCGATTTTCTTAGCCAGCCGCTGCCCGCGCTGACAGGGGCAGTCGCGCGTTGGTGGAACTGGGGCGGCAAGCGGCTGATCTTGGTTGGCGGCGCGTTTCCCATGGCCCCGTGCCCCATCCATCGAGGCG